ACCCTGTAGCCTTCCGTCACAGAGGTTCAGTCCTGACAAGAGTGATGAGGAGAACAATAACAGAGAAGCAGAAGGAGGAAGAGGAAGATGAGATAGAGGAAGAGTTGCACCTTTATGCTGTATCTCCATCGTCCCGAATATTCCCTCACCTACAGAGCTCCTGGAGCAGCTATATCATAGTACGTGTGTGTGTGGAGTCCATTGGAGTACATTATGTCTTAGCTTCTGGGTTTTTGTGTTTACTGGTGTTTACAAGTCAATCTCGTACCATGGCCATTTTCCACAGAATCTAATTGCATTTGTTGGGCATTGTAAGTAATGCACTTAAAATAATGTTTATTGTTTTTGTTTTTTGTAGAGATCCACTTTTATGCTGGACCCAGTGTACAGGAGGAGATGTGGCATATCCTCCTCTTCTCCTCAGAAACAGAAATATCACAAGATCAGGTATATCTGCTATATGGTGTATCTATCTGACTGAACCGTTCATATTTATGCACGCAGGCAGTGTAAAATGCACAGGCTAAGAAAGCGTCTGCTAATGTGTTTCCAGCTGGGAGCGGACGTGTCACTTGTTCGGTCAGTTGAGTGGAGAGCTGTTACAGGAGAACATCAGTCTGGAGAGTCAGTATTTACTACTGCAGGAGCTGCACACGGCCACATACCGCAACCCCACCATCAAAAAACTCTTCTGGAGGGTAAGATGCTGCTCTATGCATTAGTGTTTACATGCACTTTAAAGGAACGGTTTATCCAAAAATGAAAATTCCTCTCTTATTTGTTTCTCAGTCACCTGATCTTTATCCTTTCCTGGTGAAAACTCTGGGTGAAAGCTCTCAGGGCGACCAGGGAGGAGTTCACACAGCCGACAAACTTCTGTAAGCCTCGTAATAAGAAAACCAGACATTCAACTTGTCATGTAACACATGCCTGTCAGTCTCATAACAAGCTAAACTATCCATTATAATTTAAACAACTTTGTAATGACGGCATTTTACAACTTGCACCCTAGCACCAAGCACGTTTTCATGATCGGTGCTGTAGGTTTTCTGTAATGCGTGAAGTTGCTGCTGCTTTTGAGGACATTAAGATGATGATGTTGTGTCTATGTTCTGCAGGCTTTGCACTTTAGTGGTTCAGATATTAAGCCTGATGTTCAGGGAAACAGAGATTGAACCGACGAGACTCAGCATGCTGATGGCCAAACAGTAAGTGATTCTACCTTGGCAATAATATCAGTCTACTCTGCTCATTAAATCTTATTTAAATGAGACGTGGCTGTTGTTTGATGCAGAGGGGCTCTTACAGCGGACATGCTGTTAGCTTTAGTGTGTGATCCGGATCTTCAGCTGCCAGACTCTACGAAGGACTCCAAATCTTCAATTACTAAGGTATAAAAGACAGTCCACAATGGAAAAATGTAATACTTTGTCGTTATTTACTCATCCTGGCTGCCCAGTGTAAGGAACACACATTTTTTTTGTGGATTGTTTATGATCAAATAATTTATGATAAGTAAATTAAATTTATGATAATGAAATGTCTTTGTGTGTCACAGATGCAGCATCTGCAGGCGGACTATCTGGACGCGGCGTCTGCGTTGCTGTTTGAGGTTGTTGTTCTCTGTCAGGAGGTGAGTAGATCTATATACACACTACCAGTCAAAAGCGGAGGGGATATTTGTTTTTAATGACCCTACAAGTTTGATTAAACCATCAAAATACGAGAAGAATATTTTATATATTAGGGAAGAACAAGTATTTATCTGACAAAACTATTTGACAAAAAAAGCCAAACTACAGGTTTTATTTTAATATGCAAAAATATTAATATCATATTAATATCAAAACGCTCACAGGAAAAAGCATATATTGAGTATAACATAATCAGGTATTAATATTTTGTTGATTCTCTCTTGTTTTTGCATGTGTCCATAAATTCTTTGTATGACAGCCTGGCCAAAAAAATATTATCACAATTTAAAACAATTGACTCCAAGCACAACAATATTATAATTTTTAGTAATATTTAAATAAGGGTGAATATGTCATTTTTCCTAGGCTCGATATCACTACATATATATATATATATATAATACTGATCTTCTTTACTTGTCTTAATTGTGTTTCAAAGGCTAGTCGCACACCTTCTCTGGGACATTTCCTTACCATTGGCTGGGTGTTTCGATTGCTTAAACCTCATCCATTCTTAGTAAGTGTATAACCATTTCATTTTCATGCACATTTGCATAAATCCACATGATTAGCACGCCTATATCAGAACGAATGTTTGAACGTACCTCCCAGAGCTTCAGCTAATATGATCGTCCTGTTTGGTTTTCTCTATCACAGCTCCCGTTTGTTGGATATCAGGCCCAGCAGGTGGTTCTGGTCCTCTCAGGCCCGCAGTTTCCGGTCAGCCCGTCTCAGGCGGTTCTTCTGTACCAGCGATTCCATGTTCTGTTAGCCTGTCTGCAGCACAGCACCTGTTTGAGCAAATACATCAGGACAGGATTCAAGGAGGAGTTCAGGTTCTTCATGAGCTTCGTCAGGTCCAATTTTTTTCAAGGCTAAGACAGGGCTGTCATATTTTAAAAATCCTCTGTTTTTATAGGTACTACGTGAAGATGTCAGGGCTGGAGGACAAACTGCCCCATCACTACCCCATCAGTCAGCCCGCCCAGAGGCTTCTTTCCCAGCTCCTCAGTCTGGTTCTCCAGAAACCCTGAGCTCTGCTGCCAATGTGCATCTGTCTCTCTCAGATTGAATTTCTTATTTCTGCATTGTAAAAACTATGGAAGCTTCTTTCCGCCACATAATAAAAAATAATAATAAGGTAATTGCAATGTTTTATCTCGCAAATCTGACTTTAGTTTTTTCAAATTCTGACTTGATATCTCAATTGTGACTTTATTTCTGGCTATTCCGAGTTGATATCTCGCAATTCCGAGTTGATATCTTGAAAATCTGACTTTATTTTTTTTTTCAAAATCTGAGTTTATATTTCACAATTCTGACTTTATCTCTCGCAATTCCGAGTTGATATTGTGCAATTTCGAATTTATATCTTGCAATACTACTGACTTTATTTCTTGCAATTCCGAGTTTATATCTCTCAATTCTGACTTTATTTCTCACAGTTTTTTTCCACAATTATGGCTTTATTTATCATATTCTGAGTTTATAACTCGCAATTCTATTTTTTTTCCTTCAGAATTGTAAGAGAAAAAGTCAAAAATGAGAGAAAAAGTTGCAATTACCTTTTTTTATTTTTTATTCCATGGCCAAAACAAGATTCCATAAAAAACAGATGCACAGGTGTTCTGACATGCGAATATGCCTTTGAATGAATATGCTGCACTTTAAGATTGAATTCAAGTCTTGTATTGTGTCTTACTGCGTGCTGAACAGAGACTGCAGGATTCCACTCTGTTTAGCATATCGCCTTTTTCTACACTCAGGATTATAATCACTGTAATATGTGTAAAATATCAAAGATTTAATGGGAAGTCAACACAAAGTACATGAACATCACAGAACATTTAATATATGAAACTATTTATTATATATAAATATAAAAAGATGGATGTCTAATGGCACTTTTTAATGAACAAATTCAGGTTTGGCAGACCACTCTAATATATGAGAGTGATCACAGTATTATCACCTAAATGTGAATATTCTTCATACATTTACTATAAGTAAAGCCTCTGGTATGAATGCACTTGTTTATTTTTATTTACTTTTTTGTTTTGTTTTTTTGGATGCACTCTCTATAAAGACTGTACTAATCTTCAGGAACTCTATGTACCTCAAGGCCTCAAAATAAAAATAACAAATATTTTAAATAAACATTTGTGTCTCCGTCTCATTTTTATAAATCCAAATTGTTGAATGAAGATGTGTGTTTCTGCAACTATGAGCACTTTTAGCCCTGTAGACTTAATAAATAAAATGAAACTGTATACAAATGCATCACATGAATGTCATTTTTAAATTAAATGTTGAACATTTTCACATTTCCATCATGTTTAAAATTATGTATTGTATTTAAATGGATTCTTTTATATTTTTGGGGAAAATAAATGGCTGAGTAATTTCATTGCTAGCATTTTATCTATGATAAATACAATTAAACATTTTTTCTTCAAATAAACAATAAAAAAAATTGACAATTTCAGTGTGACTGCAATGGCACAATTATAATATAAAGTGATATTTACCCTTTTTGTGTATTTTACGATTTGTATGTATTTATTTTGTTAGGCACCTGCTATATTACTGTTCTAATGCAAAGACTGTTGTTGTTGCCAACTTGATGGTACAAATTGTTCAGTTACATAAAAAAAAACAAATAAAAAAAACTATACAATACAATAACTTTTGAGGAAAATAATTATTTGGGACAAATTTGTTCCTTGGTTGTTTAAATGTATTCAGTTTAAGGAACATAAAAATATAATAAATAACAGATAAGTATGATGAGAGGACATAACGGGAACGGGCGTTTTTCGTTTATTGCTACTGGGGAATGTTTTCCAAGACGCACAGGAAACAGCGTGGGGTTATTGAAGCATTATCAAGATCTTTTGAACTTGTAAGTCGAAGTTTATCTTTGCACTTGTCTTTCATCTAAACTGCGAAAACGACATAGATTATACATCGTAGGTATAAAGCGTACCATCACCATTACATGTGTCTTCTAAACGTGACTAGTTGGTGTAAGTGAATGGCGGGAGATTAACATGTGTTTCTTGATTGGATTTGCTGAAAGTAGAATACAGAACAAATCTTAAATAATTAAAGTATAAAATTAATAATGAAAAAAATATATTATATAGGATATTGTAAAGAATGTTTTACCTTGAACAACATCATGGTATTGCTGTATTTATAGGCGGAATGCGAATAAGGCAAAGTATCTATTTTTCAACATTACTTTTACGTATAACGTTACTATTCCTTTATTACTCTGATAACGCCATTTTTCTTTCACAGTGTGTATGACCTATCAGCAAACATAGCACCATCCACCAAGTAGAGTCAGAAGATGTTGAGAAATGCCTCCGCACAGGTAACGTTAATGAAACAAGATGTAGATGGGTTCATGTTGGCTTATACGGATTACTATAGGCTGATTATTTTTACTCTTTCCTGACAGATACTTAAACAGTTCGTCCGACACAGGGCCACAGATACAAGTCTGATCTTGGAGAGATGTGAGTATCTGTCAATCATTGTATACAGTATACTACAGCAGGGGTACAGAAAAACAGTGTATAAATAATAATAAGATTTAACTAACTATATAATAAATATAACTGGTGTGTGTATATATATATATATATATATATATATATATATACATACATACATACATGTCTGGAATGGATATTGACAAAAATTTCACTATTTTCTCTCTCTCTCTCTCTCTCTCTCTCTCTCTCTCTCTCTCTCTCTCTCTCTCTCTCTCTCTCTCTCTCTCTCTCTCTCTCTCTCTCTCTCTCTCTCATATATATATATATATACATACACGCACACAATACCCGTTCTTGTCTTTGGTAAACTTTTATGAACACTTTTGATCCACTTCAAATGTTGACTACTTTATCGGGTCCAGTGCATGGCAAATTTATTAAAAGAAAAATGTTGTAAATGATTCAGGGAGTCAGTTGGTACTACATTACTATAATATTGAAAATGAACTGATTTGTATATAAACACACCAGTTACACACAAATATAAACATTTAAATTGTGGCTGTCATAAAATTGACAGATTTATTCAAGCACAATACAAATGAAAGAACAGTAAAATATATAAGAAACATGTAATATAGTGCATAGAATATTTAGCAAAAAGCTCCTCTCTAGAGTGACTACTGACTAGTGAGTTAATGGTCATTGAATGGCTTTTCTGAGGTAAATTTAACATTCTACTGTTTTATTGACGTCTTCCCCGCGTTTGAAACACTGATTCAGCGATTACGTGAGACACGACACGGATTTCGGTATTTTGGTTCTCTGAAAGTCAATGTCTTTCGTCTTTGCTTTGTCTTTTACCAGCTATTAACAAAGTGCAGCTTCTCGGGCGGGTGGGGCAAGACCCCGTCATGAGACAGGTGGAGGGCAGAAACCCCGTCACCATCTTCTCCATGGCAACGAACGAGATGTGGCGGTCCGGGGAGGGAGAACCCACAAATACAGGTGATAGTTTAAAGATGATTCTGTGTACTCGTTTTTATTTCTGTTGATTCTTTATTTATTTAATTTTTAGTCTATGGAGCGGACCAGATTTACATTTACTGCAGTTTGTATTCTGTATATAACTGTGTATGAGACAAATGAAAATTTGAATCTATTATAAGATATAATAGTTTTTTGTTGTTAGATGAAGAGACAATGTTTTAATGTTGATAACAAATTAACTCTAGTTTTCAGATATGCTTTATGTGAGAAAATTGTCTTTATGGTGCAAATATGTGGTCTATTTAAACAAAATTTTGATATTTTCCTCACTCACCACCAGTCAATGATCATAAAGTCAGCATGAAACAGAAGTTGGCAATGTCTTTTCTGTATTGTGATGTATATAAGAGAGAAACTGCTTCTGGAACAAGAACAAATGTAGGGCGGGGCTTGAGTTTGTTAATAGGGAATGATTGGATGGATGAGGTTAGCTATTGGCTGATGTCATGTGAGTGACAGGTTGCCCCGCCCTCACGCCACTAAACGCGTCATCAGAGAAGAGATGTCGCAGGAAGAGGGAGGGGAAGTTATTTTGACTAAAGATTACAAGGAATATGATTTTTTTTTTTTATTATTATTATTATAATGATGTGCACTGATAAATCATTTATAATAAATACTAAAAGATTCCATAAAAAAATATGAATTGTCCATTTTGATTTCATGTTGACTTTAATAAACTAATAAGAAAGGTTTATTGTTCTAATTATTATTATTATTATTTTTTTTTGCAGGAGATGTCACCCAGAAAACAACATGGCACAGAGTTTCAGTATTCAAACCAGGCCTGAGAGACGTGGCGTATCAGTATGTAAAGAAAGGGTGTGTTTCCTATTTGTTTTTGAGGCATTTATGAATATAAAAATAAAACATGCTGCTATTAACCTGTGGTCAAACTTTTTCAGGTCTCGAATTCTTGTGGAAGGAAAGCTCGATTATGGAGAGTACATGGATAAAAACAACGTCAGGCGTCAGGCAACAACTATTATCGCAGGTCAGACTTTGGTGCTTTACCACAGTCTCTTTTATTGTGTGTTTTGCTTTAATGATTCAAAAATTAACCAAGCATCATTTCTCTTTTTTTCCACAGATAATATTGTGTTTTTAAGTGAGAATCTGCGAGACCAGTAGTGAAGACGCCTTCCCAGACTTTAGGAACCAAAAGAAGATATTTTGTATAGCGTTATTCTGCTCTTACATCAACTCTTTGAGTATCTTTGTGCCTGCCCTTAACAGTCATACTTAGGCAAATGAAGTAATGTTGTTGGTATGATTGTGTCATTCCCGACAGAGGGCGCTAGCAGGATGCACTTTGACATGTAAACACACAAACACACGTTCCAGACCCATGAACTGGATTTGACTCTTTGTAAAATAAATAAAAATTGCTCAATTTTCCTTTTTGACTTCTGAAACATAACATATGTTAAAAGCGTAATATCTGAAATTTTGTTTAGCAAAATCACTTCCAATTTGTTATACTGTACTGTCGTGCTAATGCTCATGAATAAATGTAGTACTAGTTTGTCAAGGATTTGTTGTGAATACTCTCGTCCTCCACGTACAGCACATGTAAAACACCTTCTGGTTTCAGAAACTTTTCAAAAGTTAGCTGTATGAAACTGAGAGAACATTAGTTTCATTTCTTCCTTTTGTTTTTCAGTTTGGGCTATTTGTTTGGGCTAATTTTATCCATTGACTTAATGCAGTCATTTAGTTCTATTTTTTCTTTGCCTCCAGGATATTGTGATTTTTTTTAAGTGCGCTTTAAAATAAGAGTAAGCTCACATTTCAAAATATTTACCCGCAGTACGAATCCATTGACGGCAATAGGAGTTGAGGCGGTGCACACAGTTTGGTACTCTTGGCTTTACAGGGTTTGTCAAGAGGTAATGCGGAGTCATCCTTAATAGGAGCAGTTTAACGTAAATCATACAGTAGCGCTCTCCAATTGGTCAGACGGTTTGTTCGTCTTCCGTGATTTTCGTACTTCTCAGAGTGAGGTGAGCTTTAAACGTATCAGCTCATCTTATTGGTTGACGCATGGATTCCAAGGGCGGGACCTCAGATAGGAAAGTTGAGTATTTTAAGGCACATTTATGCGTAGTTTTTTCAAACAGCGTAACAAAATACAAACCCCTTTAAAGGCCCATATTTTATTATTTGTTTGGGAACATCTGAAACATTCACTGAAAGAAGTATAGTCCACAAACGGTCTTTTGTAAACAAATTTTGCCATTCCCATCATTTCCCCGCCCCAAATTCCTACTCGCCTGTGAAGGGGCGACATTTCTCAAGGAAGCTGAGAGGAAAGTTCGGTGAACAGTGGCGACAAACTTATAATCAACTTTCCTTTGACAGTAAAACATTCACTTTGAATCACGGTCGGACGAGCCATTTGACGGATACACTATCGCTAACGCTGACAAATAGTCGTTTGTGGAGCCGTTGAAGCGACTGCGCCTCAGTGACGGTTTAGTACAGACGCAGCTCGAGGCATGGAAATAATGGATATCGGGGAACCGTTTTTACAATGGGACAAAAATCTCAGCGAATTGTCAGAACCCGGGGAAAACGACATTTTGTACAGCACTGTAAGTGGGGATCTCCTTATGATTCCGTTGCATGATTGCCATCTTTCACTTCGCATGTTTTGATGTGTTGCAACTAGTGTCAGATCATCCAGAATGCATTTAAATGGCTCTAAACCTTATAATTTACATCATTTAGTCATAAAATAGTGTTTATTTGACTTGATCGGTCACTGAGAAACTTTAAATGAGATCTATACGATTACTAATGTGCCATGGGTTCCACTTGGCTCCAAGGGATAAAGTTCAGATGGTGTAGTTGACTGTATCATAGTGCAGTGCTACACAAAGAAATGGGTTTAACCCATTTTGGATAAACTCAGAATATACGTTAGGCCTCGAATCTTTGAAGTGTTGTTGCAGGTTATGTAATAACAGGTTTGTGTCCCAACTTCTGCTCAAAGTGGCCTCTACTGCTGACTAATTAGGGGGTTCACAGTGGGTAGTTTGCAAAGGGAATTTGGTAGTTGGTGCATGTACTTTTTTTTATTCAACATGAAGTCTTTAGTTTAAAATGTATCTGAATTCATACTGGAAAGTGCATTTTTTTGTCTTATATATTTTTTTAAATTTTTAAATCCTTTTTATCTGAACTGATTTTTTAAATAGTCCTGATGGTGTGATTTAATAATTTTTAAAAAAAATAAATTTATACACATTACATGTAGTCTTTTAACCATTATGAACTCACAATAATTTTAAAAATGCTGTTTAAAATGCAAGCAGGTCACACCGCAGGATGTCAACTTTATTAAAGTAGCCTATTTCATGTCGACTACTCAAATTTATGATATGGACAACACGTCGAAGGAGGTTAATTGCACAAATGTGGTAAGTTACAAGCAGTTTCTAAGCAGAGATCCCATTACTAGACGAGACACGTAACTATTTTCCAGACAGCATCAAAGCAGGCGTTGGAGGTGCAACAGTTTAGTTTGTCTGGGATTCAGAAACTGACAGGATCAGGGCGGTAACATACACTTCCATGAGAACTGTATATGCTTTGTGAAGGTTGAGGAATGGTTTACATTCTCCTTCACCTTTAGAACAGAACGGGGTCTTTGTTTCAGGCCCCCATCAGACCCTCCCCAACACATACATGCTCCCCCACCTCATTGGTCTCTATGTGCCAGTTCTCCTCACTTTCACTCTTGCTCCCCAGGGTTTGTTGACATGGCATTCCACACAACAACTCAAACTGTTCTCAGTTGGAGCCATAGGCTCCCCTGAAGCTTGCTTTGTGGACTCGGTCTGTTGCATACATCTGTTATCATTATGCATGTTGCATCTGCGCCGTGTCCTTCTGCATTATGAGTCAGCTGCATTGCCATGGTGTGTCGGTCGACTTTCAGATTTGAATTTATGCATATCTGAAGCCAATCTTCAGTCAATATAATACTTGAGGAATGCAAACATGCCCTTTTTATGACTTAATAGGCCCAATTATTGTCTTCTGTTACTGATACTTGCAATTATGTCTTCTTTGTCAAATTGGAAGAATTTGTATAGAGGATGTGTGTTTGTACCTTCATGTCACTTACTCTTTAAGCAAAGACTCAGTCGTCCTATCTCATGTGATTTAAATAGTAAAAAAACCCAAGGCTCATTCCTCCCTTTAAGACAGGGGTTAAAGAGATGCTGAGGGGAGCAGTTCAGGCATCATGATCAGCATTTCTTAGTGCTGATAATCACACTGACACGATTAGCCTGGAAAGCACATTATCTCCTGCAGAGTGGGGCCTTGTGGCAACCAGATGTACTTCCTGAGCCACTCGAAAGCCATTGGTTTACGGCAAATATGAGGAAAGGCCTGCTTTAGCAAGAGCATGTGCAATAACCTGTTTATTAGTACTAAATACAATCGTTATCACCCAGTTCTTGGTTATTTGCATAGTTTCTACTGTATCCGATGATCTAATTTGTCTCATTTGATAATTTGATGTTATGATCAGCTGATAACACTATCAGTTCAGTAGAACTTTCATAGAAAGAATTTTCATTCAGCCTGATCTATTTCTTCTTTTATTAACTCTTTTCTATTAGCTATGATACCAGTATCTGCATTAAGGCAAGATGGTTAATATCTGTGCACAGCATAGGCTAATTCCACTTAACTATAACTATAGGACTGGGTAATTGTTATACAATAGAAACGTGTCAACTGTCAGTGATTTTGTTATACCGGTTATACCAGCTCATCCTATTAGAATCAATTTGATACATTTTAGCAGTTTGTTTGTGTTTCATAACATGAAGCTGTTTTTGCATTGATACCAGACTTATCTTTCTTTTGTTATGAATGAAAGGAAGTACCTTTATGTACTGCATTAAGGTTAACATAAAAAACAAATAGTTTTCATTGAATTTCCTGCATGAATAACATGACGATATAAAATGACTCATACTCTGAAACACACACACACACACACAGGCCAACATTCCCTCTCTGTGGTCACACACAATCAGTGATGTTAAACACTGGATTGACGAAGATATCTTAAGAAAATAAGTTGTCTGTCGTGACCGTAGAGGCCGTGTCTGAATGTAAACACCAGCACAAGAGTCTGGCCTCACATCTGGTTTGTGCTGCTGATATTATGTTTTTAATATCTCGTGTGACTGGAACAGACTGAGAGGCTTCAGTGGTCAACTTGTGTCTAACGTCACAACAACCGTTATTTCCATCCATTTTTGTTCAAGATCTTGTATTGACAATGCAAGAGTCCAGGCCTCTGTAAAGTCTCCTCCAGCACATCCCGAAGACTTTCAATGAATTTAAGGTCTGAAGAACTCAGAGGTGCCAATTCATGAGAAAATGATTCTTCATGCTCCTCCCAACCATTCGTTCACTGTTTGAGCCTGATGAATCTTGACAATGTCAATATTGGCCATTATGTGTCTTCCTACATGGTTGTTTCAGAAATGAAAAGCTAAACTCTCCATCGATTAGGGTTAGAAGAACTGTTGCCAAAAATATAACATGCTAGAAACATAATAATCACTGCAATAATGATCCAATCATAGACTCTTTAGCATTTGCCTATTTAAATCCAAACAGCGACTTGTATATAATACATTCAAGACACTTTAGTAACTGCAATACTGCATTGTGTCGGTGAGATTTGAATGTGTTATTTTTATACACATAAACAGACTGTATGATGATTTAGGGCATGGCAGTTTATTGACCGCATCCTGGTGCTTAAAATGTGTGTGGACAGTGGATAGCGTGTCAGGGCAGACTGATCTTGCAGCCCTGAGCTCTCTGACATTTTGATAACATTTGTCACTCAGGATTCACGTGGTATTCTTCACAGCGCCGTGCTACTGATGACTCAAGCTTTAGTGTGGGACGGGAGGGCGACGAGTCTGCTGGCAGGCGGTCTGTAGTGAGAAACCCTCTGTCTCTGTGCTCTCTGTGGGCCGGGTGGACACAGGCCCGGACTGTTCTCAGAGAGGGCTGGGTTTCTGTGAGGCCCGGCGCCCGTCTTTCTTGCAAGCTGCATCATTCTGCGATGCGCATTCTTGCTCTTTTGCTCTGAATGGATGGTTTGTAGAAGCTGCAACTTGAGCCTGAACCTTCTCTGAGCGCACACATATTCATTACACATTCATTTTCTTCATCATGGTCTTGTCTAAGTGCCCCTCGGAGGCCGATCTTTCTTTTTGATTCAAACAATGTATTTTTGGTGGTGGTGGTGAAGTTGTAATGGAGGTGTTTGGATGCGTGAAAGGTTATTAGCTTTGGGAGTATAATGTTGCATGAGAACCTCTATTTTCTGGAAACAAAGCCACTGATTTTGTTAGTGAGCTGCAAGTTAGGCATTTTAGGCCGTGTCCCCCCCACACACACTTATTTTATAATTTGTTTTGTAAAATAAAAGGGGAATTGAAATTGAGTATGCAACTTTTATATAGTGTATATATATATTATATAATGTAGTAGATTATAATTTATATTATTTTATTATATATGTTTATATCTTATAAGATATAAAAAATGTAAAATATATGTATATATTTGAGATTTTAATTTATATTACCATATTGTTATTTAAACAGTTGTTTAATACGATTTTAATACATTTAATTTAATAAACCATCCTTGTAGTAAAGCATATTTTATATAATCAAGTGAATAAAATATGTTACAATTAATAGGTACTTGCTCATTTAATTTTTCAATCTCTTTAATGTGATAAAAACAAACCAAATAATTCAAATAAAATAAATGGTAAGTCTGAGTACACAAACACTGACTTAAATTAAATGAAACTACAATGTTTCAGTCTGTATTTGCTGACTTGATATTATATATTTTAAACCTAAAATATTAATGTTAAAAAACCCAATCATTTACGTCATTGCTACTTGTGTATTGGACATAGTCTTTCACTCCATTCAGTTCTACTGTTCCTCCTCTGAAAGAGCAAAGAGTGGGTGATCAAGTCTTTCCAATCAATTCATATTGGATTTTTGTTATCCGCTGTCACTGCTTGTTTACATCCAGTGCGCTTTAAGGTCACTGTTGACCAGATGTTGATTACAGAGGAGCCGTTTCCTGGACCCCTGGAGTTACAGAAGTTGCAGACACTGCTGCAGTTTCAGCGCACCACTCTCTGCTTGGGGAAGGGAGGATGGGACGTCCCTGAATATGCAGGATGTGTTTGGTCTTGTTTTGAATTTACAGCACAGTCGCTATCGAGGCCTCTTCCCTGATATAAACTGAAGCCGCAGCTGCGATGGCACACATTTCACGCTCGGCCCCAACAGTTGCGCACAAGCAGCGTGAGCCAAGAGCCAAGCGAATTCAAAACACTCTCAGAGAGGGTGGAGTGAATCATGGAAAAAGTGATGGACTTCTGGTGGGATTTGTCTTTGGCACAAACAAGATTTGCAATGTGAACTTTAGGATAAGATACACAACTTTTCCCACAAAAGTCACATTTATTTATATAGCACTTTATACAATACATTGCTTTAAAGGGTTAGTTCACCCTAGC